AAATGCCGTGTCTGCTGACACTCTAGCTTTCCTGATGAGATAACATGAATCCCAAAGTTTTCTAAACCCTCTAGGACAACCGCCTTTGTTTAAAAAAAAGAAGTAAAACCCCGTCACACCGGGGCTGCGTCCTCACGGCGACTGCACGGCGTCCTCAAAAAATGCAAAACGCCGAGGTGATCGCAGTAGAGTCTCCTACAGCGCCGTGACAACGCGGCGAGATCTCTACTGAACGCCGTAGGGTCGCGTAGGGTCTCATAGAACGCCAGGGGACGGCGATCACTTATAAGAACGCAGTAGAAACGTAGTATGATCGCCGTAGCAGCGCGGTGAGATCTCCAACAACGTAGTGAGAGCTCTGTACGAACGCCGTGAAGACGCACATGATCGCGGCACGAACGCAATGATAGTAGACTGCGCTTCCACGGAGACCTCACGGAGATGTCGCGGAGTCCTTGGAGATGTCACTGCGTTTCTATCGCGTTTTTACGGCGCTTCTAATGAGATTTATCGTCTTGTGATTTTTTCGACTGCGATTACAAGCGACAGCACGGAGTTGACACTGCGATCATTGCGCTCCCATGGCGTTTCTACAGCGTCCGTTGGCGATCACAATGTGCTTTCACGGCGTTGTTAGGGCGTTGTCAGCCAACTCACAAAACAAGAGCAATGGGATTATATTTTATCAGCAATAATTTCAGAGAAAATCACAACAGAACTTGTTCTGTTTCACTTAAATTTTGTAGAAAACTTTTCAGTGTGTTTATTTTTTTACATTCATAATAAAATCAAAGAAAATCTAACAACACATCTGAACCGATAAAATTGAAAAAAAGGAGTTTAATCATAAAACTATAAAATACTAATAATTTAGAACTAAAGTATTCAAAAAGAGCATTTTTAATTATCTAGAATTTTTCTTGGCATGATTAGAAGTCTTTTCATCGCGTAACTTGAATTTTTAAACAAAAATGTTTTACATTCCTTCTGATTATATATCAATGAGTATAGAACGCATTGTGAACGTATTGTGAACGCAGCCAGCGCAGTGAGAACGCCGTGAACACAAGATGAAAACTCCTAACGCGACGTGAAAACTCCGCGGAAGCGCAGTCAATCGCCGAGAGATCTCCGTGGGAACGCAGTAGAACGCCATGAGATCGCCATAGAATTGCATCCGTCGCCGTAGGGACGCCGTCACATCTTCATATTGTGAAAATTTTACAGAAATTTGTGCAATTTTCCTGCGATTCCACGGCAATTTTAAAAAATTAACAACACCGTAATGACTCCGTGTGAATGCAGCTTGGTGTGACAGGGCTCAAAGTCCGCGTTTGGGAAATTCTAAATCATCAAAACTAATTAAATCTAGCAACAGCACTAATGTATCTCAACCAAATAATTCTGCAAGCATATCATGATTAAAGTCTTTCATGTTTTAAAGTTAAGTAAAACTTAACAGGGGGGTTCAAACTAAAATTCAAAAACCGGAATTATACCCCGGTGTATATAAATATATATATATAAATATATAATAAAAAAATCACAACACCGAAATAAACTCAACCGGTTTCATTTCCAATCTTCAGGAGTTTGACAATACAATGCTAAGTTACACAAAATCAACATTTATATTGTGACGTCATAAAGCGCTAATACTTAGTCGCGCTTTAGCAAAGTTCATAATGATTTTATATATATATATATATATATATATATATATATATATATATATATATATATATATATATATATATATATATATATATATATATTTAAGGAATGACTCTAATTCTTGGCCATATTATCGAGTATAATCTGGTTTGGGTCAGTTTACGCTTTATAATCCGCGAAGCGGATTATAAAAAAGCGTAAACTGACCCAAACCAGATTATACTCGATAATATGGCTAAGAATTAAAGTCATTCCTTATAATTTAATTTTAAAATAATTAAACAACTTTTGATGTAAAATTGTGTTGCTTTTTATAAGTTCAAATTTACCGCGCAATAATACAACCGTAGTAACGGAAGTGATTTGAAGCGAGGGGAGGTAATAACTGATACATAGATCTTGCAGCCATGATGTTTGTTTACATGAGGTAAGAACGAGTAATTGTTTAAAGTTGAAGGTACATTTATTAAATCTGGAATTTTCCATGGATTCCGAGGACTGGAAATGAGGGGATTGCATGGATATGATGATTAAGCTGGTCGTCAAGGGGGTGTGTCCCCATACCAAACCAGATTATACAAAATGTTATGCGTTCCTTTTTGGAAATCAACCAATGAGAGGCAAGAATACAAATAAAATTAAATTATATATATATATATATATATATATATATATATATATATATATATATATATATATATATATATATATATATTTATTTATTTATTTATTTTGAGTAATGCAAGATAACAAAGCATAAATTTCTAATGCTGAGATTTACCAAGTAAGAATTCTGAAATATTTGTGATGGTTATTTAGAAATGCTAGAAAAATTATGTGAAATGTGGAGATTACGAACTGTTACCATTCTCAAAGTACAGTTATCAATTCAAATTATAAACAGAGTAAACACAGACCTCTGGTTTTTTTTTTGGTTTTTTTTGTTTGTTTTTTTTTTGTGGGGGGGGGGGGGGGGTTACAATTTAAAGACGACCAGTGACAAGGCTTTTAAATTTACGAGCTCAAAAATTTAACCGAAGAAGTAATTGTCTTTGATGTTAAAGAGTTTGAACCTTATCTTGTGGAATGGTTGTATAAAGTGTTGAAAAGTGGTACATTTTAAATGTTTTGGATTGGGCGTTAATACAATTAATACAAATAGTCAAATTATAAAATTTTATACTCAATTTCCATTTTCATCTACTTTAAAGAATAATTAAGACTTGAGTAATCTTTCACAAGTTACCAAATCTTCATTTCCTTCAGGAGCTCGTATCCTAACGTCTGCTTATAGTTGTATTTTACAATAGAAGCCTACTACTTACATATACAAAAAAATGACCATTAAATATACTTTATACGGAAGTAACCATGAATTTTTACTGAATGGGGGTGAGGGTTGGCCTCGTTTATGGTCGATTAATTGATTTATTCAACAGGCTATTTTACCAAATGTTATACATTTTTGGACTGGGTTTGTGAGCAAAATGCGTTTTGTGGCTTACAAGTACCAAACTGTAACCAAACTGTAACAGTTTGGTTCGAGGATCTACAAAACGCAATTTGCCCAAGAACAGTCAACACATTCAAGAAATGATTTGTTATACCTTAAATTATCTTATTTATGTATATGTATCTTATGTTGGCTGCCATGGTGTAAAAGTTCCTTTACCGCACTGCAATTAAATCGGTCAATTCCTTCATAGTTATTAAAACAATGTAAAAAAACACCAACAAAAGCCAAAAGAAAGAAAAGAAAAGCTGATTCCCGCCCACGGTGTGACGTAGTCCAATGTCATACAGAACGGACCGCTCAGAAAATGTAAGACTTTTAAAGTATAGATTTATACAGGTGACAATTTTTAAAGGCTGAACAATATACGTCAATTATCAAACTCTGATGAGAAACATCGAATCTTTGAAATTCAGGGGATTGAAAAGTAGTCCAACATAATCCTCTGCGTACAATCGTTGAACTGAAATATTGAATTTAATATGTATCTAATGAATTTTTAAAAAAAATTAAGATAAATATAATACCTCCAACGATTTCAACTGCGTCAATATATACATATGAACGGGAAACAGTACAGTCCACTTCTATTCTCAGCTCGTTCACAGGAAAGTCCACTCTCTGGGTAGAATAGTGATTATTTTTACTTTAAAAATCATATGAAACATTTAAAATTGTATTATTTAGTGACAGAATATACTAGTAATTTTCCAGCTTTCGATTCGTTATGTGTATGTATTCAAAAGTTTATCTTTATTTAATGACTATCAAAAATGATATTGTTGAAAGATCTTTCGTCTTAAAAAAAATACGATTAGTTAAAAGGTTAAAATTTAATGCGAATGTTTTCCAAACAGAAACTTTATAAGAAATACCCGGTGCACTCAATTCTTTGAAAAATACTCACTTTAATTTCGGGGGAAAATATTCTAGCCCTTTTGATTAAATGTGCATATGGAGCTCTAGCTATTTCAACCCATCCATGTTCTCCATTTTTCGCCAATATTCTCGTCACAGCTCCAGCGTTATAAACTTCATATATGTTAACATGAGCTAACCAAATCTTTTCCGGAAATTTCAACTGATGATGGAAAAGATACTCAATATGAAAATGATGATAAAATCAAGAATTTGAAAAACATAATCTTGAACAATTATGTAATGAAAATGTCAAGATTAAGACTGAATTGTTATCAGTCTCCAAAAGTATGGAATCAGATTATTTTAATATAATGTGCGGAAGATTTTTTTTTTTAATTTATGTCTATGTTTAAAAAAAAAATTCAATCAATATCTAGTGAAAGAAGACACACTCTTCAGAATTTACTTATGTTTTTATATATAATAGTTTACCTCTACGTATTGCTTTGCATTCGTCTGTCCATACCCCTGTGTCCATGCCTTTGAACTAGCACCATATTTAGGATAAACATTTGGTTTCCCCAATATCTGTTTTGCTGAGTAGCTAGAAAATTTGCATTAAACTATGGATGTGATCTTGTAAAAAAAATACAGTGATTATTTCAATTTAGATTACAACAGTGATAAGATTGTGAAATTTACACGAATATACCTTGTTGAGCTGTACTCTGATGAAAATGCTAAAACTTCGGAAGCCCATTCTCGTTTGACGGCTTTGCAAATTAAAAATTTAATAGTTTAAAAAAAAATCATTAAAATTTATGAATAAATAAAATTTTCAAATAAAATCAAATTTGGCACAATCATTGAATAAAATTTATTTTCGCTTTCTCTTGAAAGATGCATGTCTATTCTTTAAAAATGTCATCGATTGATAGGACTTTTTTCCTACCTTCTGAAGAAGAGACCATTAATATGAAAACGTACAGTAGGATCATCATAGGAACCGCCTACCCCTGACAGTTAGGATACCTTTATGCTAGTAATACTTCAAATTTGACTTATAAAGGTAAGAAAATGTACACGTTTATCATGAGTCATAGTTATATCATATATCATTTCAACATATTACATTTTAATATTGATATGTAAGAATTATATGTTTCTGAAATGTCATTTCTACACAACAGATGCTGACGATGGATTTTTCCACTAATATATTGTCATAAAGTGAGTAGGTGTTTGATATTGAAAAAAATGGCAATTGAAATGCAAGCATTTTTTTTTATTAGAGACATTTTCTGTTGGTATGCTTTTTTTTAAATTTATTTACTATCTTTATTTAAATTTACTATCATAACCATTTCAATAACGGATAAAGAACCTCTGAAATTTCTTTTTTTTTCAAATCTATTCTATTTAGGAACAGAAAGCCAACAAAATTAAAGATTTCTTAATAAACCTTGTAGTAGCCGAAAGATTGTTTCAATGGTGGCATCAGATGAAGAATGAAAACCTTAAACAGACACATCTAAGAACTTTGCATATTGATTTTGCATACCGTAAGAATCAAATGATTTAAGCAATTCAACAATGGAACAAGAATGGCTAAGATTAAATTTCTATTTTTGAGTTAAACAGTAAATGACAGACTTGTACTTGTTCAAGGTTTGACCGGAAAAATCGTAGACAAAGGGTCTTTCTCAATATATATAATGGGTGCACTAATTTAACATTTTTAGCAAATGTTTATGCTACAGTACATCAAAATCAAATGCACCCTTTTTAAAAATAAAACATACAAATAATAATATTTTATTATACTTGAATGTGAGGAGTATACTGTCCTACCTCGCACGATAAAAAAAGAAGGTTTCATCAGATAAAACGCGATTGTTTTTCAGAAATAAAAGTATTAACTAGACAAGATTGGGATAAAAATCATAGAATTTTGAATCCACTTTTTATTGTGTCGTCTTTTGGAAATTTCAAGATAGTTGCTTAATTTTCGTCAGTTTCTAAGCATTCCATATGTGAAAATGATTAGCACAATGTACGTTATGGATATATGCCGAATACTGTTCTATTATGTAAAATTATCAGACTGTTTGAGGCCTGTAAGGGCCGAAAACTGTCTGATAATTTTACATATAGAATAGTATGAGGCATATATCTTACTTAAAACATTGCCTTTTAAATGTCCAAAAGTTACCTAGAGGAGTCCGATAATAACACAATGGGAGTTCAAGCATCCATTGTTTTCTACCCGTCTGATAAGTAGATAAAAGAAATGAGTGAACGGTAAAAAAGTGAGTGAACTATTGTTTCATTAATTTCATTCATATTCAATGGCAGTCGTTTCGTTTAGCAGGACAGGGGTACGGTGGTGAAAGATTTTTTGGGGGAACATTTTTATTTATGATGTACATAAATTGACACTGATACTGACATAATTTTGGGTGATATTTTAATCATCACCATGGCAAGTAAAATGCGGATTTTTACCCTAGCTGAATTTTTAGCTTATATAATGGAAATTCTCATGTTTTGAAAGTGTGGCCATCGGGGAACAAACATAAAAAGAGATTGCAGAATCTTTTTTCAGAAATGGATTTAAATTCGCTTATTCAAAGTGCTGAATCAAAAACTCTTTTAAAGAGTGAAAATTAATGTTTTGGAAGGTTTAAACTCGGATTTCTTTTCATGGATTTGCTTTTTGTATTGTGATCAACTTAATTTCCTTGCGTTTGGTTTCCCTGAATTTTTTTCCTAACATTTTTATTTGGGGTTTCTGGACATATTTAATCTTAATTTCACTCTTCTTTTTGTTTTTTAAATACCGTCCGATTTTGTTATCATTGCCGTCCGATAATATATTATCAGACTGGTGATTATTATTATCGGACGGTTACAGGTAAATTTTGAGACTGCAAGAACAAAGGCTTGACGTCACAGCAATGTTTTAAGAAAGATTAAGTTTGATTTAGACGTAGTAATGACGCCCTAGAGAAGTTAAATAGTACAGAAGAAAAAAATATAAACAGATCTATAGTATACATGTGAAATTTTTTTATGGGAGTTTTATTAGCGAAATCTTATTTAACTAGAAAAATTCTCGAGAGGGATACATACAAACTTATTTGACTAAGCCCCCAGGTAGAAAAAAGAAGCGGACTAACAGCTACTGTTATAGCGAATGACGCTTTGACTAGACCGTCGATATTAGATGTCTATTATACATATATTACATGGCTTCGAGGGCAGCATACCAGAATATTTGCCCCAAGGTGATAGGAAAGCCCTGGAGTGTTATGTCGCCCGATGCCGCAGGCAGAGGGCGACATAACACTCCAGGGCTTTCCTGTCACCGAGGTGCAAATATTCTGGTATTGCTGCCCGAGAATTAAGCCATGTAATATATGGTATATAACATTTTTAAGCATTGAAACCAAATCGATCATCGAACATATTTTTAACACTATGTACACATATTTACGTTGAGTATAATATTCCGAAATATCCCGTCCTGTTTCATGGCAGAATGTTTTCAGTATGCTGGCACTTGTGTTGATAACCTTTGTTGTATTTAAAGAATTTTTCTCCTCAAATAAATTATTTAATTCCTCTGAATTCAAATAAAGAAATCGCAGACGTTGTCTCGACTTTTTAACTTTCGCGGAACTGTTTACGTTTGCTTAGCAACTGCCTCTGTTAATTTCGAACCCGACGTAATTAATATGCAGAATGATTGCACGCGAGGGAACATAACTGTGTTCGGGAGGGCAACATAACTGTTTCCGGGGAACATAACTGTATCCGGCGTGATTCGGCAGTTTTTCGGGGCATATGGATAAAAATATTATATTTGTGATATTATGGGAAAACTTCTTCAAAAATATTATATATGATTATACTGTTCATAACTTACTTATAAATCTTCTGAAGGTCCCTTGTGAGTGCGAGATTGGTTCCTCGACTGTTTATGGAGGAATAAAGGGAAACACAAGTATGTGCATTAATGAAATTCCTAAATTGAAGTTGAACCTATCCAAGGTTTTTTTAATTAAAGAGAAACGCATAGGGCATTGCAACAGGCACTGACGTTACCATCCGTGAACCGTAAGGTTATACAACACATAACATAAAATCTCATAATTTGTTTGATTCTGAACTTTTGAAATTTTTTGTGTAGGTATGTTGATGAAAAATATACTAAAGAGTAAGATAAAGATAAGATAATATTTATTTAAAGCTGGGTACCGTATATACTCGCCTATAAGTCGGTATTTTGGGAGTTATTTATTGGTCTAAAACTCCATGTCCGACTTATAGGCGAGTCATAAAGATATTGATATTTTTCCAGAGGTGAAAAGGTAGTATCTTATTGGCATGTCCGGCGATTATCAAAGAAAATGTCTGGATATATAAGATAATTTATGTATTCTTAGATTAAATACATAAAGTACAGGTATTTACATATTTTAAAAATTTTATTTGTATGTTAAGTGAGCATTGCCCCTTTTTCATAATTTAAGATTAAAAACAGTGTCATTTCGAAAAATATTCATTAAAACCACATTAAAACATCAATGGAATTACTTGAAACTGTCACCAGATTTTAGCAAAAAATTGTACCGACTTATAAGCGGGTCAATAGCAAATTCCACCAAAAAAAAAGTCAAAAATACAACCGACTTATAGGCGGACCGACTTAAAGGCGAGTATATACTACAATAATCTAAGTATTAAAATTTTTACTATAGTTAATTAGAAGAGATTTTTGTGTAGTTTTTGAAAGTTTTTTGTTTTAAACGTATTTCATTAAATAAATCAAAAGGATTGGAATAAGTTCTTACAACTTACTCTCCTTATATGTAACAAAATGTCATGCAAATAATACCCAAAAAATATTTTGAAGTGTTATGAGTGAATAACAAGTCAATTTAAAATCTATGTGTTTTATCAAAAAAATTATGGACTGTAGCAAAAATATTATTAGTTGATACAGGCAAATCTTTATAACCCCATAATAACAGGTTTGTGTCAATTGTAATCAGTTCTTGAAACATAAACAGTTTATTGAAAAAATTGTTTCTAGCACTAGTACCTGCATAATTTTTACAAGCCAAAAAAATTTTTTTTTTACTTTCCACGTGAACAAAGAGGACTGCTGATAATATTGCGTTTGCCAAAAGAAAAAAAAATAAGTTGCACAAGCTCTTAACTTTTTTACATAATGAATTAATTAAAATGGCTTCTTTTGTTTCTAATTTTAATAAGATCATTTTTTTCACAGCGTCTGGCACAAATGACCTTTTGAATAATTCTAATCTACATCTTGGAATAATAAACTGCTCCTTATTGCGGGTATTGTATTTTGAAACATTTTCATGCTTGTTTGGTTCAATATTACTTAAATATTCAGGGACAATTCTTTTTTGAATTAATTTTAAACATAGTATATGTAGTCATTTTTGCAATATAGCACCTAAATATTAAAGTTTCACATCCTGTTTCTATATGTGTTTTAGTATATGCAAAAATGGGTAACAGAGCATTGGTTTGATAAATGGAATTAAAATTTTGAAAGTTTTTATGTGAATTGCAGACTTGTCACGTAGGCATTCATGTATTTCATGAAGCACGCCATGACAAATGCTATTGAATTTTAAAGTAACATCTTGTAAAAAACTTGAGCGTCGGTCCACATCCCAATGAAAAGACAATCAATATGAAAACTAGAATCATCACCATCTTGCCAAAGAAAACCATTACCTTTTTATCAAAGTCAATAAAATATAGGCATTTATTATAATTTGTTGTCATTCTTCTATTGCATTTCTTTGAGCGTATTAACATAATAATAGCAATTCAATTGACAACAAGTGTTAACATTCGATTTCAGAACTGTAATGTTAGATAAGAGATCAAATTCAAATGACAAAATGGATAAAATGTATAGGTTCCTCCTGTGTCATTACTCTTACATTTGAACAAACATCTGATACATTGTAACTATAATGTAAACATTCAATGTCTTAGTGATACAGACGCTTTTAAGTAGAAAAGTGTTCAAG